CGGCCAACACGCCCCCCCCCCCCCCCCCCCCGCGAGAGAAAGAGAAAAGCCTTCGTGTCCAGTGCTGGTTTATCGGTGACGTCAACAAGTTCTCTCGAACACTTTCACCCCAGTCGTCATCATGTCGAACACGATGGTCGACATCGTCGTCGTCGTGTCGAACACGATGGTCGTCGTGTTGAACACGATCGTTGTCGTGTCCGACACACTGATCGTCGTGTCAAACACGACGATCGTCGTGTTGAACACGATCGTTGTCGTGTCCAACACGATGGTTGTCGTGTCAAACACAATCGTCGTACACGATGGTCGTCATGTTGAACACGATCGTTGTCGTGTCCGACACGCTGGTCATCGTGTCAAACACGATGGTCGTTGCGTTGAACACGATCGTTGTCGTGTCCGACACGTTGGTCATCGTGTCAAACACGATGGTCGTCGTGTTGAACACGATCGTTGTTGTGTCGAACACGACGGTCATTGTGTCGAACACGATCGTCGCCGTGTCCGACACGGTCATCGTCGTGTCGAACATGATGGTCGTCGTGTCGAACACGATCCTTGTCGTGTCAAACACGCTGGTTGCCGTGTTGAACACGATCGTCGTCGGGTCGAACACAATCGCCATCGTGTCGAACACGGCCGTCGTCGTGTTGCACACGACCGCCATCGTATCGAGCACGACCGTCTTCTTGTCCGACACGCTCGTCGACGACGGTCGTCGTGTCCGGCACGATGGTCGTCGGGTCTGACACGGTGGCCGTCATGTTAAGCACGCTGGTCGTCGTGTCCGCCACGGTCAAACGTGGTCTTGGTCGTGTCGAACGCCATCACGGTCGTGTCGAACACCCTGCCCTTTTTCGCCTCGACCCCCACCTATGTTTCGACTTACGTAGAGTTTAGTGCGAGTTGCGCCAGCAGAACACAGTGCCCGGGTGACTGCCTTTTGTCTCTTGTAGCACTGACTGCTTGTTGCGAGATTGCGCCACGACCCCCACCTTGTAATATACAATGGAGTTCATGTCGTGTCGGACGCGACATTGGCGTCACCGCAGTCGTTTGCCTTCTCAGCCTGGCTATCTAGAAACCCGTCGTGCGCGGTAGAACGAACTCTGCGCAAATTTTGCTTCGAATCCTCAGAGTCTGGTACCCGGGAATCAAGACGGGGGACCCTTCCGTGTTGGGCGAGGCCGTCCCGTTGCCACGATGGTTTTCCTGCTCACTCGTGACAGTTTTCCTGCCCGC